ATGACTTAACCTCAAACAAATGTAAACAATCGGATGTAAGTGTATGTGTCGTGTTGATTACCCATCTCTAATTTTATGTTTTATATTTTATCCTTTCGATGCAAGTTCTCTCTTCAAATTACATGTTCATTGTTCATTACTGTTTCATTATTTCATGGTGACTTTCCTTAAGATACTGATCCCATTTCCTGCTGGGAATGTATTCTATGCTCATCCCTTTAACTGGCTGTCATTCTTCCTCGCTGCCACTTGTGTCTTTTTTCAGCTTCTGTTAGACCGTGGGCCAGCAAGGGGTAACCCCCCCCCTTCCCACGAGGGGGGGAGGGTAAACCCCTCTCCCCTCCCCCCCTCGTTAAATTATGTTAGTGTAAGCGTGACAATGACACGCCCTGAAAGTCACCTTTTAGAGTATGGAATTTTCGCGTTTAATTAAATTTTTTCGTGATTATTTATTTGGGGGAGGGGGAGGGGGTGGGAGAGGAGGGGGGAGGGTAAACCCCTCTCCCCCCCTCGTTAAATTATGTTAGTGTAAGCGTGTCAATGACAAGCCCTGAATTCGTCTTATAAAAGTGGAATTTTCGCGTTTAATTAACGTTTTTCGTGATTATTTTTTTGGGGGGGGGAGGGGGAGGGAGAGGGAGGGGCATGTACCTCCCTCCCCCCTGTCACCCCCCACAAGAATCCACATTGATGTTCTCTCAGAACAAACGCTACTTGTTTTCATTTTGCCGCCCATTTTTGCGCATAACGCTACTTCAAGGAAGCGGCCAATCTTGACGGTTTTTATAGGGTGGGTACTGCTGGGGGGCCCCCCTCCCCCCCACGAGGGGTTAGGCCGCCCTTAGAATGAAAAATTAATGCTCTGTTATTATGGGGGTAAACGATTTTACGATAATACCAACCTTCTTCGCGTTATTGGCGAGAAATCGCGGCGAAACGGTCATTTTCGCGGAAAATTGAGATATCTTGACATTTTAAGCCCCCCCATTTTGGGGGACCGCGGGTCCTGGTCAAAGTCACTAAAGACTTTTCTAGACCAGAATTTTACGAGCTTTCAGAATGGTTAAGTGGAGTTTTGCCCTAAAATCAATCCTTTTCGGGTAAAAGTGGGAAAATTCGCGGAAAAGTCGGAATTCTGAGCAATTTTGGGGGGTTTAGGGGGGGCCTACTCCCCCCCACCACGATAAAATTCGCGGAGACAAGGAAAATCTTATTCTACTAAGTGAGAGCTCCGAGAAAATCACCATCTTCAAANGGGGGGGGGGGGGGGGGGGGGAAGGGTTACCCCTTGCTGGCCCACGGTCTATGGGTCCTACTGTTCCCAATCAGTTTTCAGAGAGCTGTCCGAAACAAAAGTGTCATGTCTCAACAGCGACGGTGGTCACCGAAAATAGTTTATTAAAGCGGGACTGCTGCGGTGAGCATGGAGAGTGCACCACTTTGTCGTTACCGTGTGCTTAAGTTTCTCACTCAGTAGTTTGCCTTTACTGTGTCAAGATAAAATACGAATATGTTTAAGAAGCAAGGCCTTGTTCGGCTGTCTTTGGCCGCTGTCACATTAACAACCCTCCAGAGTGTAGTCAGGACAACGACGTCGATCTGTCATCGTAATCTTGATTGAAAAAAGTAAATCGCCATGTGACTTAACATCCCTCTTGATATCATTTGCAGTGAAATATTTGTAATTCACTGAAAGGCTGGTAGTCAGTGTGCATGCCAGGCAGTCAATGTTTCATCTAAGTTGAATCTTAGATGAAATTGATGGTGGTCCCCGCGTACATCGGAAGCGGAAAAATGTCACCCTTTTCTCATATTTCCAGGATGTTTTGTGGGTCCCTCCGAGGTTTGGTTGTGATTTTACAGCTAATGGTCCTCATCAGTCAATAACGACTCAACTTAGGAAGGACCCCTCGACAATCCGAACGATCTCCAGATTATCCAGCAAGCTAAAAGATTTCCTTCAAGAACTGAGGCGTCAATCATTTAATTGATTATGAATGGAAGGTATCAATTTATTTTTTCTTTTTTTAATTTAAGTCAACGACCTTGCTTCAGACAAATATTTTCATCTCCATGTTGTACGCATGTGAAAACTGAACCAATACAAATACATCTTATCGTTTCAAAAAGTAAAAACATAGTGCAAGAACAGAGGAACGTTGATGTACAATTACTTTTGAATATTGATGAAATGCCTAATGAAGTGCCTCGAGTATATTGTTGTTTTACTGGAATCTTAACAGTCCGAACTTGCAAGAAAGCACACGTGCACACTTCAGCTGTATAATTCAACAAAACTTCTTTTAACAATATTTTTTTCAAAATTTCAGCAGGCTCAATTTTCTCCACGGAAACAGCCGCATCTGTCCCTTCTGAGAACTTCGAGAATTTGCTGCAACATGAAGAGTAAATTATTTTCAGGAATTTGTAAAATTTCTCCAGTAAAACTCTGTAGAATGACTTCTCTGTATATTGATCCACAGGCCCTTGTAATGCAATTTAATGCAGCATGTGACGCTTGAGAAAACTTTGCCCCCCTCCATTTTCGATGCGAAACAATCGGATGAGCTTCTCATGGTGGTAGGTAAAGGGGCAGAATCGGCGATGCAAAATTCCATGAAACATTTTAAAACGAAATCTCATTTACTTGATCGTGAAATCTCACATGTTTTCTAAAACTGCAACGGACTCAGTATTCCTCGAAATACATAAAATGGGTGAAATCTTAACTTTAAAATTTTGAAAAAAAGCCAAAAAATAGAAGAAAAAAAATTCATAAATTCAAAGAAGCTCATATCATCGAACTCTCGAATACTTGTTGCGGGTTGCATACGCAGCCCCTAAAAAATCCCTATTTCACTTTCATCTTGCATCCAAGGAAAGGAGGGGGCTTTTTGCCAAAAAATTATTTCTCAGTGTCGATGTCAGGAACAGAGAAGAATATTTTTTATAGGCGCGCGGTGCTTGATTCCATAGTTTTGGTTTTGGCTTCCAATTCGGAAAATGACCACGGTTTTCCCCTATCGAGCACTGATCTCCCGAGAAATGGAATCTTCTCTTAAAAAGCGTAATTTTTATGAAAAATTCCGATTCTGAAAAAGCGTAATTTTTATTAAAGGAAGTGACACGTCAATTTCCTCGACCATATTTTTTACCCAAAAAATGTTTTTGAGGGCTTTGTTTACATTTTTTTGAGGTTAAGCCATCCGTCATCCCCACCCACGGTGCGCCTGAACTCACTTTAAATGCGACTTTGTTGTACATCAAAAATTCAAGTTTGAGGTTGTAGTGGGGTACTCCCTGATGGGTTTTTGGGCAATTTCGAAATAGGTTGTCGGAGCTCCTCGAAAAATAATCGCATTTTTGTGGTTTTTTAGGGGTAAAATAGCAAAATTGGCCTCGGGGCGACAAATTACACCCCCTCTCCCTCATCCTTGCCTTGACCGATCTGAATTTTTAGTATGTTTTTACCTGGTATAAGATGGGACTTTTCTGAAATTTTCATGCCCGTACAAATTCTTTTGCTCGCGCGGCAGCGTTGCCAAGTTGCGGACTCCAAAATATCAAATTTAATGATAAAATGAAGGTTTCGGAGTGTGATTTCCATTCAAGATCAAAAATTCAAATTGTAAGTTGTAGTAGGGTACTGCCTGATGGGGTTTTGGCCAATTTCGAAGTAGAGTGTTTGAGATTTTTGAAAAATAATCGAATTTTTGCGGTTTTTTAAGGGTAAAATAGCACACTGAGCACGGGGCGGAAAGTTAAACCTTTTCTCTCTCATCCTTGCCGTGACGATCTGAACTTTTAGTATGTATTAACCTGGTATAAGATGTGACTTTTCTGAAATTTTCATGCCCATACAAAATTTTTTGCCCCCCGCGGCAGCGTTGCCAAGTAGCGGACTCAAAAATATCGAATTTGATGATAAAATGAAGGTTTCGAGGTGTGATTTCCTCCAAAATTTCACGAAAAATGTGCAATCTGAGAGTTTTCGATAAGAAAAGGCATATTCGAACAATTTAGAGTTGCAGTGTTGCCAGCTTTCGATTTAAAATTCGTCAAAATGACCCAAATCGCGTTGCAACCTCAAGCGCCAACCTATTTCGAAATTGCCCAAAAACCCATTAGGGAGTACCCCACTACAACCTCCAACTTGAATTTTTGATGTACAACAAAGTCGCATTTAAAGTGAGTTCAGGCGCATCGTGCACTGGTATCGGTTGCAT